TATATATATATATATATATATATATATATATATATATATATATATATATATATATATATATATAATCAAACTCTTTTAAGATTATTCTTCTAATTCATCTCTCTGGATAAGACAGATAGGTTGAGTGTGTGCAGTGGCTTTCCGTTGAAGGAGCGCTCGACCTGGAACCTCTCGTGACTCCTACGCCAATATAATTATATTCGAGTGCTAACTCGGTCATGGTTTTATATTAATAGTATATCGAATGCTCCAAACAACTTTTCTCCGATGCAAAGTCATACCCCATAAGATGCGCCACATCTTTGTTTTATCGTTAGGATTGTAGTTTGAGCTAATTACATATTAGTTTTAAATTTTAAAAGTTTATATTAAAATATTTATAATTATGAAAATAAAATATTTAACTTAATTTATCCTAATATTATTGGTTTTATCGACGAAAGATATAATACATTAGTGATTGTTGTGGATAAAAAGATAATCTCAATTATGATAGCGGACGATAGCATCATGAGTGATTGTTGTGGTGATAGTCAATAAGATCGATATATGGTTGAATCTGTCGATGTCAATCCAAACATCGATAATAAGGAGGCAAAATGATAAGATATTTGCATCGTGGTCAGAGGAGGGAAGTGAGGCATCTATGTTGATGTCACATTGCTCTTCTTCTTCTTCCTCTTTTGGCAATACAATAGTTGATGAGAATGAAAAAGAGGTAGAGCGGTGCGGTGCTGACCTATGCAGCACTAAACCATATGGTAGTTGATGAGAACAAAGAAGAGGTAGAGCGATACGATACCGGCAAAGAGGGGATAATGCAACACCACACCAAATCATGTGGTAGTCGATGAGAACAAAGAGGAGGTAAAAAGGCATGACGCTAGAGGCAAAAAAAAGGAGACTAGTGAGGTATTTGCATTGGTGTTGTATCACTTTGCCTCCTCTTTCTCTTTCGATGATGTAGTGGTTGGTGAGAAAAAAGAGAAAGCAAAACTATGCGAGCACTGAATAATGCGATGGTTGAGTAAAATGAAGAGAAGATATAGCGGTATGACACTAACATAAAGGAGGCAGTGCGACGTCGCATTGAATGATGTGGTGGTCGACAAGAACAAAAAGAAGGTAGAGCGATGCGACGTTGATGCAAATGCCTTACCTGCCTCCATTTCCTTCTTCAATGTCGTACTGCTCTACCAAACTTGCCTCCTCTTCCTCTTCTCTCCTCATCATTGGTGATGCAGATGCTTTACTTACCTCCTCTTCTTCCTTCGGTGTCGATGCAGATGCAGAGCGGTGTTGGAGGAGGAAGAGGAGGCAAAGTGATACGATGCTAACGTAGATGTCTTGTCTTCATCCTCTTATTTATTGGTCACTAACACAAATGTCTCACTGCCTCCTCTTTCTTCTTGTCATCGATATTCAGATCAATATCGACAAGGTTGATCACCACATCATTCTCATCGACCACTACCACAACAACTACCCACGACACGACCATCATAAAAATATTTTTTTTACTTATTTTCGTGTCATCTATGCATATATTATCATGTGTTGTATCTTTCGTCGGTAAAACCAACGACGAGTAAATAATATTAATATTTTATTTTCATAAATATAAAATTTTTAAGTTTAAAGATTGAGATACTAAAAAGATTTAACAATTGAGCTAATTTATAATTAGTTCCGACGTACCCTCGCCTAATTCAAATTAAAAAAGAAATTAAACGACCGAAACAGAAATCATTGCCGTCCGTGTAGCAAAGGGCGGTGGGCCCCACATAAGGCGATCTGACACGTATCAAAGTAGACATGGACCCCGCACCGATGGCCCACACGTGTCGTATCTTCTCACAGGATTCACGAGCTCGTCCGACGCCGTCAGCGACGCCCCGTGGCCCTCGCTGCCGCCGCCAGACCCTCCGCGGTCTCCCTCGCCCTCCGCCTCGCTTCCCTCCTCCATCACCTCCGCCACCTCCGTGCCCCCCACCGCCTCTCCGCCGGGCGTAGACTGGCTGGCCGGTTGACCCGACCTAGGCGTCGAGGAACATATCGGCGATCATGCAGAGGACTGGTAGATGCGGGATCCGAGGTGAGGGGGTTGAGCGAAGGTGGTGTCGGTGTCGGGAGGGAGGCCGTGCTCGGAGAGACGGAAGCGGAGGGCGGCGGGTAGCGCGAGGCGGCGGAGCAAAGCAGATGAAACAGAGGGCATCAGTTTGATCTTCGAATACTTCTAATATGGTGGCATTTCCTCAGCATGCGGAAGCTAAGCATACTATTCAAAGATTATTCCATCCCCTTCTCAACACAAACAAAGCCTTTTAGCAGTGGCTTCTAAGAATCCAGTGTCCAATAACAGGGGCCGAAGGCTTGTCACGCCGGGGGCCTGTTCGGTTCACGGAAGCCTTCGCCGAAGCAGGTGTTGAGGTCCTCGGTCGTCCCGCGCGAGCTGCTCGAGGATTCACCAGCTTTGTTGCCGTAGTTCCCCATCACCACCCCATCCAATTGGCCCAAAGCTGCTGACAGATTCGGCACCACGAAGTCGTTGTTCTGCGTTTCCTCATTGGCATCAAACGTGGAAGATTCAATGCTCTCCACGGCCATCCACGAACTCGACCTCTTCAGCTGCAGTCGGTACTTCTGCATCCAAACGTACAAGAACGCTTCATGGATTCTCGAACAGTGGGTGCTAATTATCTTCGAGTAAATTACCTGCAGATGACTGGCAATTTGCTCCCTTGTTAGATGTTGGACTTTGATGATCTCCAAAATTTTCTTTGGCAACGCCTCTAAAACAAAAATAAATTAGCTTCCTTCAAATCGTGGAAACAAACAAAGCAACTCGAACTAAAATCCGTAGATTTGGCACGAACTGTCGAGCCCAAGAGCGTTCACTGCTGCCACGAATTGATTGATGGAGTTGCGTCGTCCACTGTAGTCTGGCCTTCTTGAGGTCACAGACGTCGGTGACGACTCCATCCGCCTCTCGAATGGGTAGTATGCAATCCTTTTGTTTCTTCCCGAGACTACTCGATCGTATCATACCGCTATCCCATTTGTTTCCGAACACATGCTGCCATATATTTCTCAGTTCCTTAATCTTCACTGGCTTGATCAGGAAATCGCAAGCTCCGTGGGCTATATAGTTCATCATCATGCCGAACTCTTCACTCCAAGACATCACTACGCCATGCAAATACATCAAGAATCCAAGTAGAATTATTCGATAAAATATATGTTTTTGGAGTAGTTAACCTACTTATCACAGCAAAATCGAGTGCCAAGGCGAGGGATTTCAGAATCAACAAGCCATCATCGCTTGGCAAAAATGCATCACTGATGATTAGATCAATGCTTTGTCGATTATCCATGACGAGTGATATAGCTTCTTGAACTTGTGCACATGTCATAACTGTGCGTAGAAGATCCAAATAAAAAGCAGCTAATAAGCGACAAGGAAATAAAGTTCGCTAACACGACTCGAACGTAATGGAACAATCAAAGAAAGAAGAAGATTAATGGATCAATGGCATATGCCCATTGCAGGTGTATTCGAACCCTGATAGTTGCACTGCAACAGCAGCCTCTCCATGAGGCCGAGGTAGCGTGAGTCGTTGTCCACCACCATCACCCGCAAGCCGGACGGCCACATCTCCTGCCTTACCGTCACCTAACCACCGTCATGATCAAACCACATAGACAAGTGAACAAGATATAAATGCCGGTCTTCCTACGACGCCATCACAATGCAAGACATGTAAACGCTTATCGGACCGAATCCAAGCGTGATGGAGCTTACCTCGCTGTCCATGCCGACACAGAGAGAAAGGATCGAAGGTAGATTTGGGGGGGCAACTAATGTTCCGGTTTTAACGGTAGAGTAAAATATCCAGCGCAACAGTGGGAGTGGGAAGAGACGGAAGCGTGTAGGGCATATATGTGGCGAAGAGGACCCATGGTGTGTGGATTCGGGAGCTCCACTTGGGGGCCTGTGAGCCGCGAGATGAGCGTGCCGCGCGAAATAACCCAGCCGTCCTTTTACCGCCGGTGAGGAAGAATATGTAGGAGTGCAAAGTGAATTCTCCTTTATGTTTGGCCCAATCGAAAGCCTATCGAGACAGACGTTGATGGAGAACTAAGTGGTTGTACGTAGTTATCCATGCGCAAGGTTTTCTTTACAACAAAATGAGCTAGAAATAGGAGGACATACAAATTTGAATTGGTTTGTAATATTGTATAACAAGTGAAAGAATCTTCGAATAAGATTATGAGACTTGATAGAAATTATTCTGACAATCAATCACTTCTCATCGGCATCATACGGGTGCTAACATAAAAAATAAAGGTTCGATCGCCCTCATGCGATAGTGATATAGAGGCAACTACAACATATCGACCCCAAAGAAGCCATTTAGGTCAACTCGATCAGCCTCCCAATGACAGCAACCTACAGGTGACTGATCGGGCCTACCCCTTGTCGGTCGACACCAGTAAACAAAGCACCACGAGGAGGGCGTTATGATTATTATAAGTTTGTCACCTCCTTTGACCAAAAGCCAAAGGAGATATATTACTATCGTTGCAAGCATGTTGCCTCCGTAGATGGAATGCTAAAGGAAAGGTATTATGATCATTACAAGTGGTTCCTACGACTAGATAGGTATAAAAGCTGACCCTAGCACTAGTCCAGGGGTTGGATTTCTCTGAGATCAACTCTTTTATACCACAAACCTCTCAAAGCTAACTTAACGTCGGAATGGTTGGGTTGGGAAGCACCCCGTGACACACTTTTTGTGCAAGAACTCATCAATGAGTTGTAATCTACTTTGGCCCAATATCGAGCCCGTCTTGGATGCTTAGATGTCACCCGAAAAACCACTTTGGTGTCGCCTCACCCACCTCAAGACCCGGTCAATTGCCTCATAGAATTGTCATGCAAGATCCATGAACGCCCCTACACCTTCAGGTCCTAACTAAGCCGAGCCAACCCACGATCGATGGTATAATCCCATAACAAGACTATATCTCGTCTACATCTAAATATTATTTATCAATGCAAAATTTAGTTGCATCCCCAAATATTAAGATCCTTTTTAACATATCATTAACATTCATTCATAAAATTCGTATCAGATAATGTTTGGGGCCTCTGATGGCTGTATGATTATTGTGTCCGAGTTAAGGATCGATTCTTTAATCATTTAAATAAAAGATGTAATAGTTCTAAATGTCGCCGGTGGTGGTGTGGGAGTTGGGCAATCTTTTAGGTTGCTGAATTATTGAGAAAAAAAATGAGTCTTAGTCCATGTCTAATGTCTAAGTCAAGGTTAAGGAGAATTTAACTTCTTGTTGGAGAATTATTAATATTAACTTACAAAATACTATGTAAAGAATGACTTCTCTCTTTGAGAGAGAGATATTCCCTTTTTTTTTAGAAAAACAAGGGCTAATAATATAAAGAATAAATGGATGGATAAATAAAATGGATATACTACTTCTAAGACTAATATTTCGGATGAGATTTCAAACCCTTATATTTCTTAATATTTTAAGTCTAAAGATTTCATGGATGAGACTTTGAACACTCAATCTATAATAAATTGATTTCATATATCATTATAATATTTTAGATATGTAAAAATTATCTTCTCAAGCGAATGGATTTTAGAGTCCATGAAAAACACATAAGAATCAAGCAATGGGACTTTAGCAAATACATGATCAAGCCAATGAGACTTTAGAGTCAAACATAAGAATTCCTAATGACTTTGTTGATTGTCCAAAAATATCTTATGTAATGACATTTGAAGTTTTGATACAAAAAGATCATAAGAAAATATCGACTAGCTTGGCTGATAAATATTTTATCAAATCATCACGAGCTCTCATCTTCCTTTTTTTTTTTTTTTTGGCTTTATTGTTGTTGTGAAATATGGAGAACAAATTAACCTTTTTTCTCTTCTCATTATGATCAACCAAGAAAAACCATCCCATGAACCTTTGATATTTTAGATCCATTTCTTTTTATATGCATATATCAGGTTCACCTTTCCTTATTGTATGTATTGTTTCTGGATTCAATGTTGTAAGACCTTCACTCGGATTCAACATTAGGAATTTTAATTTCAGGGTAAGATTGTGACAGTCAAGATGTTGGCAATGGCTGCTGCATAGATTTCCAGCTAAAAAAGGAACACAAACATGGAGAAAAAGGGTCGATCACAGTATCTAATGGAACTGTCATTATTTCATGATTCATCTTCGATCCATCACGCCATTACATCTCAACCAAATCAAGCATTAATTGAAGAAGAAGGAAAGATCAGCACACACACACACCACCAAATCAAGCAGTAAATTTGAGGAAGAATAATCCAATAAGAGAGCGACATGATGCCGAGGAAAACACAGGAAAAGAAAAAGGAAACAGAGGGGAGATGGATGAACTACTCTCCCCCAAAGCCAAGCATTAGACTTGCCTACGGTCACAGACCTCTTCACCTTCTCTTCCTTCTCGGCTTGCATCTGTCATCTTCTTTCTTCACCTCCTCCTCTGCCCTCCTCCCCCTCTGCAGTCCGTAAACAAGCTGCGCCATCACCGGTCTTGCTGAGAAAGAGTGAGTTCACAAGTGGACAGAGAAGAAGACGATGTTGCTTCGGCCTGTCTCGCACAGATGATTCATACATCCACTTCTATTTGGAAGAAAAAGAAGGCACAGCCATATGATATTGTCAACTATTATGCCTATGGAGTATCCTTGGCAAGACTCTCTAGTGGCATTCAAGGACACGAAAGTACTGACCTTTAGATATCTAGCCTTCTTCATCCGTAAAAGATGGTGGAAGGCATCAAACTCCATCTCTGCGTTACTTCTCCATTGGTGTACAAGACAAGATGGTCTTCGCTGAACTCTACCACATTTATCTTCGACTATGGAATCCAATGTGGGATGTCAGGCATCCAACAGTTCTTTGATTGTGTTGTTGCACCATCCGCTGGTTGTCAATCCCTACATCTTCCAGCCATCTGTCTTTGTTCCAAAAGCGAACAACAGTTTGTCCTGTGAATGTGTTTTCTGGACCCTCTCTTTGTTTCCCCCACAGAAATCTGTGTACTTTTACTGAAGCTTGTGATTTGGCAATCTAAGTAAGTAATGTTCAGAATGTTCCTAAGTAAAGCAGATAATTCCCTCACAGATGTGGGTAGCAAATGGTATGACAGTGACACCACATGCTGATGCTGGAGATTCAATCAGGCTTTGGATATATATCAACCTTAGGAAAAAGATGTTTCAACTCAACAAGATTGGATAATGTTGATCAAGTCATCCACCTCATCAATTAGGTAGTGAATGGTCTACTTAGTACTTGTTTGTCTGTAAAGATGTACTGATAAAGTGAAGTCTTATTCAAGGGGATGACATAATTAAAGTCCATAACCTCACAAAGCTGCTTTTGAGGGCCCTATCCATGTTACAGAGCTTAATATACGCTTCACGAAGCCAAGAAACATTCATGCCCACTACTTGAGAGAAGATTTCTTTTCTTTTTTTTTCTTCCTTTTTATAATTTGAAGAAGGATTTATATTACTATACTTTTATCCATTATGAACTCACACGTCCATAAACAATAGTTAGTTTTACTTAATTCGTACAATTCTTTTGCATGTCCATTTATAAAGGATCAATCTTTTTAAAACTTTTTATGATTTCCTTAAGATCTATATTTAAAAAAAAAGATGAATTAAAAAAAATATTTAACTCAGAATCTCACAAGCTAATATTTTAGTAAATATTTGATAAACAATGTAAATTATAAATATAGACTTTGTAAGCTTTTAAACGATCATGTGACAAAGAGTTTATGGCCAGTTATCTTGTTCTACAACAGTGTCATGGGTTTCATACTATTGACTTATATTATCTGATATGTTTCTTTCAATATGTACTTGTATCACTCTATACAAACCTTATATTTGATTTTTTTTATATTTGGGTAAAAACTTAGCTAGAAAGAAGATATCAAATTTGATATTTTGACTTTTGATCTTAGATACAGACGATTCGTGCATGATGCTCAATTATTACCGCCCTTAGCCGCCCCTGCAGGTGGAAGAATAGAGAAAAGTAGAGGTAGAACAAAAGGAAAGCATCCAACTTTTCTTTGGCAGGAGAGGATCCCATTCCCACCCTGTTCTTATCACCAAAGCCAAACTGATACAGAGACATTAATGGCGCGTGGGGAACAACCTCTTCTTGGATTTTGGAAGAACTCGTTCATCATATTTGGTGAATTGAGCTTAGCTCTTAATTCCTGAATCGAAAATGACACTGAACCCATCTCCTCAAATGCGTAGTTTCCCATCACTAGATGGCTAAGTGTATAGCTCATATGGTGTCTACCTCTATCATACCCATATAATCTCTCATAAATAAGTAATATACGAGCTTCATGTTATCATACTTAGGTCAAGTGTCGAATGGTTATCTTGTGCTTTTAAGTAATATACAGTAATGCATTTCTTGTGCTTTTATGGGATTCCAAGCTAGTGAGGTCTCTTTTTAGGTATAGTCTCATGTTGGGTTTCCCAATGGTTATCTTAACCAATAATTCATGTTCTTTGAGGAGTTGGCAAGAATTAGCTCAAATAATAACTCGGGTTTTCTCACAATTTGGTCAAGAATTTTCCTTCTTGCATGCCTGTTTGACCATTTTGCATTGCATACTTTGTTTGTGGTGTAGTTATGGTATCCTTTGTTTACATACCAAGTCCAAACATGGAGACATGTTCTCTTTCAGAATTGATCTATATGTCTTCCTTCCTGCAGTCGCCACCACCTTTTTCATTCTGTGGTGATCCAGGAACAGGTATTGATTATTAATTGTGTACAAACTCATTCAAGGATTAATCATTCCTCTGTTGAATTTCTGATGCTTGTCTTATTGTGTTCTTTTTCTTTAGTGCCGAAACTTAGTTGCTTTCTTCTTGTATTAGTTTCTAGTTTCTGGATCCAAATTTGTATTAGTTTCTAGTTTCTGGATCCAAAGATCAGATGAGATCCTGATAGAATTAGCAAAATTGTTGCTGGCATCAGATGCTTTGGCCTTCATTGTCATGTGCCAATCTCAGCTTGATGCATTGCAGGATCTTTCTTGAAATCTATCAGCTGATATTGATATGCCGAGTTCTGATATCTTCGTATCGACTGAAAAATGGCATATACATCTTAAAGCCTGGCTTTTCAGGTGGGGGATTTGCCAAAGGAATAATATGCGTTGGTGAACTTGATGTTCTACAAGTTCCAACACATTTGGAGTTGTCTTTCTTCCAAGGCAAAGTGAACAGGAGCTGTTTTCTACAAACCCTCAGAGATACCAAATGGATTTTTCAGCCTTGGTCATCATGGTCAGTGGTGTGACCAACACCACCCCTACATGGTGTTATTCTTGTGGTCAGAGAAAACGCAAAATTTCAGCCAGTGGCTAGTCTGCGAGCTCTGCGGAAACCACTGGATTATATGCTTGTCTGGAGTTCAGATGACTTCGCGGAGGAGTCCTATGATGGTTGTGGTTACTTCTGGCTTCCAGTACCACCTGAGGGGTATCAAGCATTGGACTACTTCGTCACTCGTAGACCCAACGAACCATCTGTTGAAGAAGTTAGATGTGTTCAAACCTCCCTTCGGGTGGCAAAAATGATGTTTGAGTACTGGATAGATCTGCTTGATGATGACAGGAATAGTCTCACCAAGAAAGGCAACATCGACAGAGCTGAACTTTATGTTCATGTGAAACCAGCCTTCGGAGGCACATTCAGTGACATTGCCAATGTGGATCTTCCGCCCCTTCATTGACCCTGCTACGATCAAGGTTGGGATGGCAAATTGGGAGCGTTACACTCTTCGGATGAGCAACTTCACTGGTGAACTTCTTGTTAGCATAAAATCTATAATCATGCTATCTATAATGCGGAAAAACTTTTATATCAAGATTGAAATCAAATAAATTGGATCTAACAATATTACGATGCATACCTTTCTTGTTGTTCAGAAGAAATAAACCTTATCTGATCTACAAGTGCTCCATCGTCGGATCTGAAATATCAATCTGCAAGGATCTGCAAAAACAACTAGATCCTTCTCCTCTCTTCCTATCTTTTCACAGGACCACCTAGATTGATGGATTAGGGGATTAAGGGAGAAAGAGATTAAGGGAAAAACTTAATCTCTCACTTGACTCAAATTGAGAGAAAAGCCTTAATCTCTCAATTGACTCAGATACTACTCACATGCGCACTTGACCCCTAGAGGTCCTATCTATCAGATGCGCACAGATGATATTTCTCTTAGCCCCTAGAGGTCCTGTCTATTTATAGGCGAGAGCAGAGGGTCTAGGATAAGTTATTAGGAGAGTTCCTTCCATCAAGGTTATCTCCTAAAGAATCATACTTTAATATGGACTTCTTTTCTATTGGTCAATAACCATAATCAGAATCCAATAATATCTATAATATATCTTACCTAATTAAATAGGGCCACATAATCTAACATTCTCCCACTTGGCCCAATAATTGGTAAGATACAAAAAGACTTAAAAATTAAAAATAAATAAACAAAATTTATTTAAAAATAATTTGACTCAATTGGATTCTGAAATTTTTGAAAAACTATATACACGCGCGTGAATTTTAGAAAATAGGCCAATAAGTCCAATAATAATAATAATAATACTACATTAAGTTTGACTAACAATATGAGTCATAGCGGTTGTATGCCATCAGTGTCACACTTCCTTCTATGTACCACAATACTGTTAGCCTTTCCTAATGCAGTCCAAAATGACCCCTATAATTTGTCTTGTCAAGACAATCCTGTCATCACATTCAATCATAATATGTACATACATAATTGTGAACAGGATAGCAGAAACAAATAACTTTAAGTACGTAAGTAAAAATGTCAATTATAGTGTCCACTCAAACATGCATCACCATATCCTTTATGGGTTGCTCACAAACCCAATCATAAGAACATGTTCTTTCAAAATACTTTAGATCGTAAGTCCTAAGTGAATGGATCAGCAATCAATACAGTGGAACTCAAGTAATTAATTGACATTAGATGTTTCTGGACTCATCTTCTCTAACCATCAAGTACTTTATACCATAATGCATATATATGCAATAGTACTTATCATCCTTAGAGAAGAAAACTACTCAATGTCATAAAATATCTTCAACGACTTGATAATTGAGTCTGACTACACCAAGTCCTGAGATAAAAATTTTACAGTCACAAATTTGATTAGTGGCCTCAAAGCATGCCACAAAATCAACTTTTATTATTAATAATAATAAATTACCTCATAGATATTAACCATAATGTGGACTTCCTATTATCGAGGCAATTTATACAATCAGCATCTGAAAAATACCATTATTTCAAGCTGATTTAATTTCATACATGTGAGCATATAATCATTTGTCCCTTCCGGATATCTTATTACTTTCTCTGTAGTCCTTTAATGTTTTTACTTTTGGGTAACTCAAATATATACCCAACATTTTAACTGTAAAAACTGATATCTTTTCTAACAGAGACTTGAGCATAGACTTCCAACTGCGCATATACAAAGAATATCTTATTTATCTAATTCTTTTCAAGTCATTTTTCAAGCATTTACTATTGACTAAAATTTTGCTTTTATGATTTACTGAACAAAGCTGTATATTAAAATCATTTCAAGACTCGGTTGATATATCCTTTCTAAGACAATCTTCATAATCATTGAGGTCTATCATTGAATTACTCAATGTTAATAATATAAGATGTCTCATTCATATCAACCATATTAAAACTCTCAGTGACAAATTCTTGATTTAGTATAATAAATCAAGATCACTATTGGTAAGGCAAAATATTATCCATATATAAGACCAATATAATAAACTTGCTCCCATTGATATAAATACTAATTAATAGTATTTACCTTAAATCTGAAATAATGATATCAAGAACCTTTATATATCATTACCTTGAAGCTTGTTTAAGGTCATAAATGGATTCCTGAATTTGCATACCAAACTTTATATTTCTTTCATTTTCTTTTAGAGTAAATCATGTAGAGTAACCCATATAAAACTAGATCTTTTAAAAATATTTTCATATCA